GCGCTGCCATCGAGGTCCGGGCGGTCGCGGCGAAGCGCTTGCGCTTTGCGAGCCCGTTATTTGCGGAAACCACCTTGGCGTGTTTCCTTGTTACTGCACTTGCCTTGAGCGTACGTTCTAACAAAATGTTTTTCATTGTTAAACAGCAAAGCGAACTCCGGGTTTGTACTTGAGATGCTCTCTCCTGATTACAAAGGGCTGGTGCTGGCTAGCGGGGCTGTCGGGGTGCGGAGCCTTAAGCGGTTGTAAGTGCTCCCTGCAAGGGCTGACGCGAGGCTGGGGAAGGACAGGGGGCCGAGGTGGACGCCAGCCGACCTGGCGGGGCTGGTGACGGCGATGCCTGCCGAGGGCTCTGCGGGCGGAGGAGTGTGCCACGGCTTAACCGCGGTGACTCGTGATTATATCATTGAGAGTATTGCTGTATCCTGCTGCTGACTTCGTCGTGCTAATTAATGGCTCCTAATTTGAGGTATAAACCATTCCTGCCTACAGTTAAGCACGGAAAGACTTGCCGAAAACTGACGAATAGAGAAAAAAATTAATCCTTCGTAAATCGGTGTGTAATTACCGGTTTTAAATGCTAAATCATACATGTATTTTGCTGATGAGAACGGCCTTTTTTAAACGAATGTGGATGAAATTAATGGAAACAATGGAAAAAGCCATTGGTTAGGAAACAAGGACACCAAGTGATGTTTATCTCCACGGTTTAAGCGCTTTCCAGAAAGACTTGAGTTCAGTTTATTTTTTTAAGGTTTGCCTTTTAAAGGGCATTAGGATAGTCATTCTTTTGTTAATATTTAACAAAAGAGTCTCCTTAAAAATTTTCGGTACCGAGCCGCATTTTGCGAGTCTGGTTTTGGAAGGTTATCTGTGAGGACGGCCGGCTGCACTCGGTTTGCAGATCGGGTCCCCGGCCGGACCCGCCCGCGCCGCGCCCGCCGCCTCGGAAGTGCTGCCGCGACCCGGGGCCGCGCTGCAGCCGCGGCGACGCCGGGCCGCGACCGCGGAGGTGTCCCCGCGAGGAAGACGGAGGGGGCTTCTCCCTCTGCCGTTGGCGGGTGCGAGTCACCTTTTGTAACTCAGTAAAATAAAGCATGCTCGTCCTATTTACCAGAATAACTGTTACTTAATGACGTAGCTATTCTCAAATTGTGAAAATATTTATGTCTTTAAAAACATTTAATTCTAGTCTATTTTAGGTAAAGTAGCCTCCTTCTAGGGGGTTAGGCTTGAAAAGATAGGTATTTATATGCCATTTTGCAGTGTTTTTATGGCCGATGCTATTTTAACTTTTTAAGTCTTTATGTTCTTCAAATAATTGTGATATCTTACATTATTGCAATGTTCTCCAAATAAACAGAGTAGAGAACTAAAAATTCTAGTTGGGATTTTCTGATTTTGAAATACCTTAGTCTGATTTTTATCAGATGTTGCATCTTTGTCAAAGAAAATCAAACTGTAACATGGAATATAAAATTCCTTTGGATAAACTTTTCCGTACATATCTTGTGGGTGTTACGTAAACATGGAAAGGTAGTAGTATCTCTTATGTGCTTTTCACTTAGAAATTATGAGGGCCCTTTCGAAGCTCCAGTGGTGCAGTCGTTTAGCGCTCGGTATTTATATGAGGGCTCTTTCTTAATTTTGCTACTAGTACTTTTTTTAAAATTTTAAGGAAAAAAATCTTCCTTCTATATATGATTCCTGTCATTTTGACTAGCCTGTGACAATATTTTTTATTTTCCTTTTAAAATATTTAATTTGAAAATAGTTGTAACCTTTCCTTTCATTACTATGATTTTTTTTGTAAGAAAATATGGATTATCTGAAAAAAGTTAAAACTTTGCTTCAGTCAAACAAACTTAGTTTTTCAGCAGTGGAGGTTAAATTGAATCTTACCAACCCCTTCAAATGTAAAAAGGAAAAACACTCTTAGTTCCCAAAGAAAGACTCTTGGAATTCTTATCAGCTAACTCTTTGGCACATAAGGGTAGTTCAGATTCAAGTAATATCCCTTTCTGTTTGATTATTTTAACTTTTTTCAAGCACTTCAAAAATAAGACATCAGTTTAAAAGAACTTCGTACCTTTTAAATGATCCTAACAGAAAAACAGAAAAACTTTGGAAACCCAACAACTAATGTTTTATATGATACAGTCCCTAAGAGAATTATGAAATTTTTGAAGTGTAAAAGTGTGTGAAATTCACTTTTAAGTTGCATCACACTTAACAAAAAAGTCTTGATTCGCTTTTAATCTAATAAAAATATGTGATCAAATTCTGCCTTTTAAGCTCTTTCTTTTTAGCCCTATAAAATACAGACATGGAAAAGAAGGGACACTACTTTGTGAAACAGTGCCTTTTTAAAAGTCCTCATCTGCCCCAGGAATAGAATATAGTGTAGCTATCTCATGGGTCTTGTGCAATAAACCATATTCCTTTCGCTTTCCCTAACATTGTATGTTTCTGCCCATGCCTGTTTTTCAATACGCACATCCTTCTTCATAAAACATGAATATTTATCAAATTTGAATCATAAACAGATACATTACTTGGCTCCTACAGAAAGAAAATACTTGAACCACTCAATTATTAAACAATTTTTGTATTATTTAGCATTGTTCAACAACTCTCCCTTATATCTTACTGAGAATCCCTTTTTATTTAAATTGGAACACCTTTCCTTTTAATCTGTAACAAAGATGAGCTGGTCCCCAACAGTTATATAATCCTCCAGAATTTAAATTTAAATGTTGTTAGTAACTTACTTGATCTTTTTTCCCCTCCAATTTAAATCACTCTTATTTAGATTTTCTTATGTCTCTATTTGCAAAAGAAATACACATCTTCATGGATTAACTTACATGGTTTTTTAAAATCACTTCATGAGTTCAATAGTACAATTACAAAGATAAAAGGAGAAAAACAATTTTACAACATATTCCCCCAAGATTTGGAGCAACACAATGAAGTAGAAAGAGCTGTTCCAGATGGCAGGAAATGTAAAGGAAAACTCTGCAGCATGCTCTATGATAGGACAGTGTTTACTGGACCTGAACTGGGCTGGGCTCAACAGCGTACAGTAGAAGAAAAGGCAGACATGGACAGAGGCACTGGGAAACTGCTAAAGTTGGTGTTTGAAATAAAACATACTGTTGTCAGTATGATTTTAAGATAGGATTTCAGGAGAGAATGTATGTATCTCTTGCCTTTATATGTCCTTGAACACCTAAACTTGAGGAGCCCCAAAAAGAAAATTCATCTTAGTTATGGAAAGGGAAGGAAGAGGCTTATCTGACAAGTAATGAAGAATCTTTATACAATAGAAGTAGGAGGAACCAAGCACACCGATATAGACATTTTTGATAAGGAAGGAGAACGGTTTGAAAGAATAAGATCTGAACTCAGAGTATCTGTAAGTCTGACTTTGGGACTCAGATAAATAAGATCCAACTCAAAACTGGGAATGAAATTAGATTTAAATGAAGTTTAAATGAGTAAAGTTGGAGTTTAAACTACTTTGTAGTAAAAAATATTCTTTCCATTTTCAGAATTCCTCTAACAGGCCTGCCTAATTATACAACCTTATTTGCAAACTGCTTTTGTTTTTCTTCAGATGTATATATACTTGGAAAACTTCCCTTAACTCTGCTGCTTTATTCCCTTTGGATATAATGATTAGCTAACTAGCACAAAGAATGCATTCTGTCTTTGATAATAAGCAGATCTTTCAACTGAGCTATGTGTGATAAAATGTAGGAAAAGCTTACAGTTTGAGTTTGAGGTTACATGTATAAGTTCCATTGCACTCATAATTTTCATGCTCACATGTAAATGCACTAAAAATGAGATGGATACAGTGGGTTTTTAAATTCTTATCAAAATTTACCAGCTGACTATGATTTGTTAGCAATCTAAGACAATCTTTAAATGAGATACTTGTAGTATGGGGAGAAGATATGTGCTGTTTCCCCTCAATAGTCCATCACTGGGGAATTCCCCAGTGATAGCTTTCCTAAAAATTTTAGGGATAAGGAAAATCTGTATTATACTTTTATTCTGTCACCCCTATTGTCTGATTTTCACATGTTACACTCTATACTTGTTTTTTTTCCAGGCAGTGTTTGGGGTTTTTTGGTAATGCACAACTGAGATTTCCATCTGATTACCTATATTCCTGCATTTGCAGTTTTTTCAAAGTATCTGTGAGATTTAGTTCTCTTCCATCGCTGACACTTTAGTTTTTAATGATAAATCAAATATGGGAAATAAGATGTGTAATTAACTCAAGAATGACTCCCATTTTGTGTTGTCAGTTTGGATATAACTTAACTCTAAAAATATAAAGTTGAATATATTCTTTTTTATATTTGGACTGTCGTATTAAAATCTTCCACATCTCTTATTTTCAGCTGTTCTGCTTATACGAAAAATAAGAAACCAGCTCCTTCAAATAAAGTCAAAAGGAGGAAACAAACCTTCCTTCCTTCCTTTGCTTTTTTTATAAAGAAAAGCCAAGTGCTAAGCTGCAAGCAGTTTTTAATGTGTATAGTATGTTTGTAACACTAAATGATCTTTACCATGTTTGCCATCAAGGTAAATTTGACTTTTCAGCTGTTATGTTTTACTGAAAGTAATTACTGAAATTTTTAAAAGCTATATTTGCACTTCCCAGATTCTAATTTTTAAAGTTTCTAGGACTTATGTTGAATCAAACTTAACTTCATGGCTTTAAAATTTTTGGATTGGGAAACTCATCTCGTTTTCAGGTCCAGATTCTCTCATACCTTAAAAAAATCATTTTTAAGCAATTTGTGTTATGCACTTGATGGCAAATTTCCGTGGCTTAAAAGTAGAGATATTTCCCCCTAATGTCTAGTCCCCGTAATATCTGTCCCAAGTTCTGGTGACCTATACTACTTCTGTGAAGCTGTGTTTCTTTGTGCTAGGCATAACTGAATTGACATAGAAACGCCAAGTCAATCTCTAACATCTACTCCTTATCCTCATGCCATTGTTAATATTATGGTATCTTCATTGGGACATTCTTTCTCTCTGGGGGTCAGTTGAAAAACCATAACTGAAACATGGGCTTGCTTGTTTTGTGGATTTTATTCCCACCATGGACATGCA